ATGGCCGCCACCGATCTGGAGCGCTTCTCGGTGAGCACCGCCCCGCTCTCGTACGCGCCTCTCCTCGACCGCACAACTTGGCTCCTCTTTGTCGCTCGGATGCGGGGGACTGACCCGGCGGGTGGTGGGTCCGGGACAGCGCGGGGGACGCAGTCGCTGCCCCCGCGGCACGGCGGGGGAGCTGGGGAGGGAGCGGGGCGATGCCGGTGCCCGCGGCTGCTGTGGGGAAAGTCCTTGCGGGAAGGTCCTTCGTCCGCGCCGTGGGCGGAGGGAACAGCGTCTGAAGGGTTCAGAGGCCTCGCAGCCTCCTCTGCTGCTGGAACCGGCACCGCCACGGTCGGGGACTGCTGCCGGGGCGTCCAGGATGCTTCTGAAGGGTGTCCGGGATCCGTGGGTCTGCAGGCATACATCACCCCGCAAAGACGGGCGGCAAGAAACGGGGTCAGAGCTTCCTAAACCCCAATTGTGTACATACCACCGGTATCCAAACACTCCTCAGTAGTAACTTAGAGGTGTGTGTATATAATACAGCGAGAGACACGCTGATTCAAACACGGGTAAAGCAAACCCTTGAGGCTGGCTGCTGTCTGAGCCCATGTATGAGGAATGCTGTACAGCAAATATGGAGCGTGACCTGTGCACTGCTGCCTCTCTGCAGTTCACATGTTGTATAACTGCTATCGGAAGTCAATCTGCCTAAAATCTGTCGGCCCAAAACTACTCTTTGTCTACAGCTTGAATTTTTTGTTGTTGTCGGAAGGCTGTTCTCGGTAAACAGCTTAGTGTTGTGTCTTGTGCGCTCTCAGAGCTAGAAACATTTTTACCGCATTAAATAGCATAGCTCTGCAAAGTCAAAATAGTCTGGTGTGATATTACTAAATAAATGAGAACAGCAGTGGTGGCTGTCTGAATTATAGGCATGCGGTGTGAGCACAAACAAGTCCCTGCTACTGTTTTCTCTGTAAGCTACTTTTTGCCAAGGATCTCAAGCCCTGCTTCATTTCTTTGAATCCTGGCCCAAAACTTTCCAGCTCAGGAATGACTTTTCAAGACTAACTTAAAACTTGCATAAAGGAAAATTGAATTTGGGCTCTTATTTAAGAAAGCTAATGTTTCTAGGCTCTGGGAGTAGTAGATTAAGGTAAAGACAGTGGCAGAGAATGAAAACAGCAAGACCCTCTCGCAGCAATTCTTTCTGCATTTGAATCGTATAAAAATACTTCTGATGTTATTTTGGTGTGCCTGCTGTTGCCTGTGCAGGTTTTCATAGTTGTTACAGGAACCTAAAATAATGCCTAGTTCTGGAGAAAATTTAATTAATTAGCTTTTTTTGGTGTGGGTACTTGAATGCTTGGCATACTTTACTTACATCAATACTCTGTCACTTTGATTTTAAAAAAAAGAAAGGGGGGGGAAAAAAACCTCCTGAAGGTGCTTGGCTCTCATTTAGGCACCAAAGGGAAATGGCTGGGCTCCAGCATGGCTTGAGTGCCCAACTCCCACTTTAGGAAGAAATCTGCTGGCTTTATGTAGGGAGCAGGGATGGGTTTATAGGGATCTGCAGGCACAGTAGGTCTAGTGACCTAATGATCTCAGTTTGCCTTTTGCCTGGAACCATGGATCTGGTGGGTGGGAGAGCAACGTCTTGCTTCCATTTGATGTGGGGCAGATGTCTGTTCCAGCTGCTGTTTCCTTTACCCCAGCTTGCATCTCAGCTGTTGTTCCTCCAGCAGTATCATGGAAACCTCATGATTCAGGTGTTCTGAGTTGTTCTTTCTGCAAGGCTTACAGGTTTCTTGTTGCCATTTTATATCACTGTACCTCAGTTTCCTGAGCATAAAGTCTACATGGGAGTAGCTTGTCACTGCCAAACAAAGGTGATGATAAAGTCACTCACTTTTACCAGCTGTTTCTATTTGCAGTAGGAAGTAATGCTGTAAAGGCCTCTGAAGTAGGGTTTTGATAGACAATAGGTCATGATTGGTGAAGCTATTTATAAGTGTCCAGCTGACACTGATATCCTGGAATGTAATGACCCTTAGGTTTGGATAATGTGTTTTGAAAACTCCCCAGATGCACGCTTCCCCTGTGCAGTCCTCCAGAGTGCCTCTGTCTCTAGCACAATAAAGTTCTCTTCAAGTGCTGCTGTTGGAAATGATCAACAAAAACAAATGAAAGGAAGCTTGCCCATGGAAAGCTGTCTCTGAGGCAGCAGGATCACACCAGTGGTGCTCAACACCACCTTTGTTTTTGTGGCTGTAGTGTTGTGAGAGGGATTTGCTTTAACCCCTGGAGACTGAAGTTTTCTGCTCATCTGCTCTGATAACCACAGCTATGTTCAGGGCTTGGGCTGCAGGCATCACTTCTGGAGATCCAGAGCTGCTCACCACCAGGGTGGAAGGAAAACTGATTAAGTTTGATTCATTTCTGAAATACTTTTATTTTTTAATTTTAATTAATTTAACTTTTAATAATTAATTTGAATTTAATGTAAGTTGTCATTAATTTTATTTAAAAATTGTAATTACAATTTAAAATTGTTATAAAATATCATTGAAGTTTGGAGCTTCTCCATTGCCTGGGCTGGCCAGTGCTGAGTTAGCACATGTGGTGACTGAGCTGGAGCAGACACTAGCAATATTAGTAAGGATGTTGGGATGTTGAGTGGGAAACCACCATGTGCAAGTGGAAGCTGAAAGGTGCTTGAAATGCAACAGGGAAATGCAGAAGCTCTGAAGGAGCTTGGAAAAGCTGGAAGGAGAAAAAGTGATAGAAAAGCAACTGGAGATACATAGGAAAATAAATGGGATGAGAAGTGAGACTGAGATTGCAAGACTTCTGCTTTCCCAAATATGTTGCTTTCTTCTCTCTTTTTAAAAACCTATTTGCCTCACAAATTGCTGTTGCTTAACTATCTGCACTAACCCCCAGCCTGACATGGAGGTGCAAAGGCAGTGGTCTCCAAACTGAGCAGTTCTGTGAGATGCAGCAAGTGCTCTCAATCTCAAGGTTGGGCTCAGATAAGAGTTTAACATGAAAAGCTAACTTTTGGCTGATTGCTCTGTGTGGCACCATGACTGACTGCAGTCATGCAGACAGGGATGTGTGAACATTGATGCCCAGGGCAGAGAGCACTGGATGCATGTACATGGCAGCATGTGAGCTGTGGGGATGGCTGGCTGTATGCAATCCTGAGATTTCCCTTCATGTAAGTGATTGACGGCTAGGCTGGCAGCTTTACAATAAATTAATGTCCCTTAGAAGATCTTGCAGAAAAAAACACCACTTTATACAGAGGAAAGTTGAAGAATAACTTATTTGCTGGAAGTAGATGATGAGATTTGCTTTGTCTCATCAAGTTGCTTGACTTGGGGAGGATATGGCAAGTTTGTCAGCTCTGTGTGTGAGCACTACCTGTTTACATATCACTGCCTTCCTATCACCTGCTCCCAGCTCTGTGGGCGGAAAGGAACCTTTTGGATGGTGTCTGTTCCTCCCACAGCTACCTACATTGTGCCTTCATGTGTTGCTGCTGCTTTCTTTAAGCTCAGGGTTCAGTTAATAGCTGCACAAACCTAAACCCACTCTTCCCTGTAAGGGGCCAGTGTGATACTTTAGTCTGTGAAAGATGGGATTGAAGAGTGAGCTGAGAACGGCTCTGTTTCATGACCAGAAGTCTTATCACTGCAGGTCCTAAGCACAGGCTTACATCTTCTTCTAAATGAACTCTCAAGGAAAACCTTTCCATGGCTCAATTCCAGTGGAAAATGGGGTTGATTTGAATTCAGACATTCCCTCTCCTCTCTTTTTCACCCAAGCAGCTGGCACCATTTGGAAGTTCCAGGACTGAATCTCCTTGTCTGTTTCTGCTATTCAGTTATTTTACCTTTTGCCTGGAAAAATTCAAGTGGTCCCCCATGCAGTGTGGAGCACAAGTGACAGATTTTTCTCCAAGCTGGTAGCAGGCACCAGAAAGCCAATCCAGGAGGAGCAACCCTTTCCCTCCCTGCACTGGCCAGCTCTTCTGCCTGTAGCATATGCTTTTTTGGGAAGGAATGATGCAGAACATAGCCTTCCACTGGAGGGGACAAATTGGTGGTTGCTTCTCTGAACCCTGCATTCCTTCCCCTGGAATTTTGCCTGTCCTCACACAGGAAACCAGCTCTGACTGTCTCAACCACAGAATCAATTAACTCAACCACAGCCCATGGCAGTTAAACACTTATTTTCAGTGTATGCACAAATGTTGCCTAGAATAAGATTTCTTTTGTTTTTTTGTTTCTTTTGTTGTTTTTTTCTCTTCACCCCGCTGTGGTGCTGTCACTACTGGTGAATCCGGGGTGTCTCTTCCTCCTGCAGCAGAGATGCAACATGTTGTTCTGCGTGGGAGCTGCAGAGCTGCTCTGAACCACTCATAACTGCAGTGAGCATTAATGCAGTGGGTGGAAGGACGTGAGCTGGTGGAGGCTGAGGCTGTGTGTGCCCTCTGCATTGGCAAAACAAATGAGAGCATGAAGAATAACTCCCTTTCAGGAGGCCAGCACGGTGTCAGGGCTTGTTGTCTGTGCTGTGGTGGCAGCTGTCAGCCAGTCCCCAGCGTTGCTGGAAGGCCAGAAGCTCCCTAAATATTATCTTCTGTGGCAGAATACCAGTGCTGTCTCCAGCTGCGGGGAGAGGCACAGCCCTGTCTCTGAGTGTCCCCACTGTCCCCAGTCCTGTTGTCTCAAGGCACCACTGTGCAAGCCAAGGGCCCCATCACTGAGCTGTTTTTCTGTCTGCAGGAGCAACAGTCACATCTCCTTTCCTTCCCGTGCTCCTTTGACTTGGAGCTTGGGAGGGAGAGAAACAGGCAGGATGCTGAATTGGCACTGGGATTGTGCAATTAAGATAAGGAATTTGAGAGGCAGTAGGATTGAGGGGACGTGCAGGGCATAGGCACACTGCACACTTCATCCCACTTGTGTAGGGTAAGGGCATGTTTATAAGATTAGTTTTGATTATTCAGAATATTTTGAACACACTTCAGGCTG